TTAGCTATCACTAATAAGTAGGCTAATATGCAAAGAAAATCTGCTATTCAAAAATTTGTTTGTTAGTTATAAAAAAAATATTAATGTCCATATTGGCTCTGGTGCATTAAATAATAATAACAACATTAAGATTTTTTTTTAAATGACAAATTATAGAAAATAGTATGGAATGTTGAAGTTCTTTAAAGGTATCATCTTAAGGTTGTAAATTCCAACACTAAAGTTAAAACATATTTAATTTTTATAATTCAGCTTTTGCTGTACAAATGATTAAATGTTTTAGGGAATAAAAAGTTTTATATTGTTTGTCAACTCTGTCATGGATGACTTTAGTAATGTTTAGAAATAATAATAAATCATAGCAAGAAAAATCGTAATGTGTAGTTACTAAATTTAAACTGAATTGACAGTAATTTAGTTTTACAACTTTTTAGCAAAACCTTTTACTTGCTATAACTGCAAAGATCACATGATACTAATGAAATCAGGCTTAAAATATTTTTTTATTTGTAAAATATGTGATTAATGAAATATTCAGTTTTCCTTTTGTAATTGTGATAATAATAGCATTGACAGTTTACAGTTTAAACATTTAAAATTAAAATATTGGTGAATTTTTCTTTAAAGAAAAGCAAAATAAATTATTTTTGCATGATGGAAATATGTACTGGCTAATTTGTAAATCAAGAAATCGTGATTTTTGGTAATGTGATCTTTGAAAATGATGAACACATTTTATAAATAAATAATCAAAAATGTAACAATGTAATGTAACAATTTTTTTTAAAAGCTGAAAAAAGGATGGCTTTGGTCACTAAATGTACCTGCAACTACAGAATCACCCATATAGTTCATGGAGAGCAACATGTTTTTCTGGAGTTTTCTTGCAAAACTTGGAAACATCACGTAAGCAAGCAAACAGTGACATAAATAGAATCTGCAGTACAAATACTAGTTTTAAAATAAAAGTTAGTTTGCTTTATTAGAATGACAGAGAATACTATAAATTATTTTATTATATATATATATATATAATTTGTTTATTTTTTTAATTTGCCCACCCTAAAGTTCCAAGCTGGAGCCGGCCTGATGACAGAGGTGATTTATTCTAGTCTCTATGTTACAGGGAGGCTTTTATTGAGTACAGTACAGAAAATAAAAAAAACATATTTTACATTTGCTATTTATTATTATTATTAGTTATTGTATTTTCAAACAGTGATTACATCAGCTTTCTGATTAATGTTGTGTGTGTGCTTTTTCTGCAGAGCTGTTGTGATAGAGCTGGACCTGTAGACAAGGGAACTAACACATTTGAGGAAAAAAGAATCCAAAATAAGAGGTAGGATAATTTTATTACTAGCACTACAGAAATCAAATGACACATTGTACAGTAAAATGACATTGTTTTTTGAATGTTTTTTATGTTTTGTTTGATCTGAAATATCTGCAGATTGGTGTGTGTGGTGAGGGTAAAGAAGTCCACATGCAGCAGCATCTTGGAAATGCTGTAATGCAGGGGTGCCCAAACTCAGTTCTGGACAGCTGGTGTCCTGCAGAGTTTAGAGTCAACTTCAACTAAACTCTGCAAGACAGCAGCAGTTCTAGACTGAGTTTAGCCACTCCTGTTCTCCTGTAGTGAACTGAACGAGACCCTGCATCAGTCCACATGCCCTTGTGTCCTCATCTGGACCAGATGTTGCTGTGGTCTCTTCATCATCCGTATCTCGGGCATGGACTGCCATGCATCACCGTCCTGTTTCAGTCTGACTGCAGCAATGAGGGATGTGATGATGGCGAAGTCCCTCTGATCATCTGAAGAACTGGCCCAGCTGTGTGGAGATACAGCAAAACATGGGCTTCTGTCTGTAATACATCACTGTTAGAATAAAGCTTGGTTTCATGTGTTGGTGACTTGTATTTATTTGTCATGATTACTCATATTCATTCTTTTAATAATATAATTATGTTTCTGTTTGTTTTCAATAAATAATGATAATACTTTCAATATTGTATGCATTCCCATTGTTAAACAGAAATGTACGAAAATAAGATGCATTGTCTAGTGACTACTAGTAGATTTACTTAGTTAATTGTCCACATTTATCATTACTAGCAATACATTCTTGGTAAAAATGTTAAGTAAACATACATTTTTTGGAGTGTAAAATGAATCATAAAACATGGTAGCGTTAGTTATTAAGGTAAAGATGGTTTATATTTGCATTTAAACATTTTAATGGTCCCTATATTGTTTACCATGGTACTTTAAATATTTGGTCTGAATGACTTCAAAACAACATTAGAACTAATATTTATTTGACTGTGGACAGTGCTGTATTTTGATAGTCATTGGCTGCTAATATGATTTCCCTATATAGAATTTGAAAATCTTTTTCTGAAATTAAATTATTAAGAAGAAAGTCAGAATGTGCAACAATAAAACCAACTTCACCTCAATGCATTGGATGCACCCTGGTCTGCCATTTTTCTAAAATAAATATAGCTTATGAATTAAATAGTTTAATCATATTATGTGATAAGACTAAATAGCAAACATGACATTAGGGCAAGCAAGCCAAGTTACCTTTCGTAAAACAAGAATTGTTATCCTAGGTATGAATACTGATCACTAACATAGTTATATTTAAACTAACATCAAACTGTACAACTATAAGTGGTTTTAAAAAATGAAGCAATGAAAACGTACCTTAATTGTATTGCTGCTTTCAGGATGTCATCGATTCAGCTCTGCAGAAAAAGCACACACACACCAGTAATCAGAAAGCTAATGTAAACACTGTTTGAAAATACAATAACTAATAATAAATAGCAAATGTAAAATATGTTTTTGTAGTTTCTGTACTGTACTCAATAAAAGCCTCCCTGTAACATAAAGACTAGAATAAATCACCTCTGATTCACATGCTCAAATAACATGTTGGTGTAGTTGCTGATGTAACACAAACCTTACTCAAGTGATCAACTATATACTGATGCACAGATTAAACAAATGACCCTTTATTCTCTTTTAGTAAGAATACATGTATCTAATTTAAACAGTATTGGCAACAGTCAATTGACAGCAGATTCTACATCAGCACAAATACATCACTCACTCAGATGTCTGTTTAGTCTTGTGATCTGCAATACTTCACATTTTTCTGTCAGACATTTGATAATAATCTTTTTTACCTTTGAAACGTTACTTTATATGTGCTGATTGGAGACCGTAACATTACACAGTCAACATTTACAGCGAAATAAAATAGACTTTAATTTAAAGCCTCTTTACACCCTCAGCAATTCTACAGTGCACTGTACAGTAGCTCAACAAATACGAGTTTAACACAAAGAACTGTCTTTGGTTTAATACTCACATTTCAAACTGACCGCGTCCTCTTCCTCCTTCAGGCCGTAGGCTGCGGCTTCCTGGAGTAGAAAGGCATCCACCTGGCGTACTTTTTATGGTTACTAAAGTTTCAAACCTACTCCTTTTCTTAAGGCATGTTTGCTCCTACTATGAAATAATTAAGCAGGCATTTTTGAACGCAAATCAGGTATAGATGCAGCGAATCTCGCAAAGGGGGTTTCGGTTTCGACGTTCAGCCTCCGCAGCGCTAGAGCGGTGACGTCACGCCCCATCCCCTATTGGCTGAATTTCTCTGAGAGCCCACGTTTTGGTTGGCAGATACACAAGTAACTTTTGCACCAAATGTCACAGTGATTTTTGGTGCAGAAGAGCGAGAGAGCGAAATGTAGATTTGCAAGTGAAAAACAGCGCTTGAGACTCGTAGCGGCAGATTTGAGCAGTTGCAGGAACATATTTGTGTTCGTGCTTAGAAAAAAATAAATCAAACATTCTACACACGTTCAGCTATCTTTGTGCGGATACACATTCTAATCTACAGATGTGCAAGTTTTGTCTGTGACTTCACATTTCTGGATGCAGGTGTGTGAATGTGTTTTGCACCATATTCACTGCAACAATAGTAGCAAAGAACATGAGCGGATGAGTTTCTGCATTTGTGATTCGTCCGATGGGATTTGTGCACCTGTACTGAAGAATTTGTGCAGGTGTAAATGTTGCGTTGTGTTTGTTGGAGACAAAAAATACCTACACATTTGCAAATTTGCTCTGCGAGTACAAATTTACTGATACGCATGTGTGGCTATTTTTTACAACTACAAATGACACTTTTACAGCTGCTTGGGAGTTTTGCACCAAAAATACCTTCATATACGCCTGCCAGAAAGCTGCCGTGAACCTGCGCACATTCCCACGTTCAGTTCATTGTTAGTAAATCCAAACGTGAGCGATTCTGAGCGTGAAACCTGGCGTACGCAAAGTTTTTGTGCGTACGCAGCGTTGATACATGAGGCCCCTGGTGATAGACTTCATCCCTGGTGATGCTCTGCCAGGCCTCTACAGCAAGTCTTCAGTTCCTGCTTGATCTTATTGCATTTTCCCTTCAGTTTTGTCTTCAGCATGTGAAATGCTTAATCGAATTCAGTTCAGGTGATTGACTTGGCCATTGCATAAGACTCCACTTTCCTTTCAAAAACTATTTTTTTTGCTTTTGCATTGTGCTTTGGGTCATTCTTAATCTGCACTGTGAAGCGCCATCCAGTGACTTCTGAAGCAGTTGGTTGTATATGAGCAGATAATCTTCCCGACTTCAGAATTCATCCTGCTGCATTTGTCAGCAGTAACATCATTAAATACAAGAGAACCAGTTCTATTGGTAGCCATACATGCCCACACCGTGACAGTACTACCACTGTGCTTCACTGCTTGGGATCATGAGTTCCTTTTCTTTTCCACACTATGGTACGAGTTGTTAAGGTCTAATCTATCCATCAACGCCAGTTGAAGGGTTTTTCATTGCCAATCTTAGCCAATTGTAATCATTGGTTTTGGGTCAATTTGTAATTTTCACTACCAGCGCAGAGCCCTGGGGATCAGAGAGAGGCTGGACTGTCCTCCCCCAGATCCCTGTTAAACAAGCAGCGAATGGGTTTTGACGTCACTGCTGCTGCCCTCTATAATAAGTTCAGACAAACAAACAGCAGAGCAGTTACTATTCAAGATGAGAAGATTTCTGATACTGCTCAGCGTTCTGCTGGTGCTGGAGGGAAACGAGGCTTATGAGCAACTAAACCAACATGAACAAAGAATTGTTGACAAGGCTATAAAACAAGCCAATGAGGAACTTGGAAAACAGCAGCATCTTGATTATTCTTCCATTTTACAAGCTGTGAGTTAATTATTTCAAGTGTTAATTAAGGCTTTAGTATTTTATTGCTGCTTGTCTGCTTTGAATTAGTTTTCTCTGATGGTGAAGTTTAAAGTGCTCCATTAAAAAGTCTCCCACTGTACATGTAAGGTTGTGATCTTTGAGCTGCGATTGCATGTATCTTCTTTACACGACAGAATGATGGAAAACGCATGCTGCATGTGTTATTAAAACCCACCTCATGTGAGAAGAAAACTCCAGCCGATCATCAGGGAAACTGTGAAATCCGACATAAGGCTAAGGTATGTATTTCGTCAATGCCTATATGTATAGGTGTCACTGTTAAACATCCTCATAAATTAATAATCAATAGAGATTTCTTGCTGATCTTCAATATTTTTCACAGCCTCAGGTGTCTTGTGTTGCCTGTCATGAAGACATAAATTGTTTCCCTCTCAGAGAGCATGTAAAGGTATCCTACATCACATATCAGTCTATAAAGATAAAGAACTGCATGCATTATGATCTCTTTTTTATTGTCAAGATATTCATACAGTAACAATATTCTGTTTTCATTTCAGACAACAAAAGCTATAAATGATTGTTTGACCAGTTTATCGCAACAGGGGGGAGGGCTTGTATTGTCCTAGAAAAAAAGAAGATGAGTAAAATGGAGGTTGTGTGAGGAAAAAGGTTAAGGATTTTTGCAAGTGACCATATGATTTAAAAAGAATATTAATAATACTAATTTAATATAACTTGTATAGTTTTTTTCCAGGTAAACATATTTTAAAATGTAAGTAGATCTATGATCATCAATCAGCATTTTCAGTATGCATCAATCATCATGTATTTTAAAATAAATATGGATATTGAAATGTCCTGAAATGTCACATAGAAAAAAGGCCCATAATTTATGAAAGGCAAATTGTATTTTTTTTTAATAAGCTTAAAAAGAACAGCCTACAATGTGATTTTGTATTTAATTAATTTAAAGAACTGATGTCTAACAATGTCATGTTGTTAATTCTAACAGTTGTTTTGGTTTGTGTTTTAATGGTGATAATACAAAAAAATACTATAATAATAAAACATTAAAAATGCTAACACAATGTGTCATTGTCCTGTGATGTATGAAAATATTAAACTACTAATTCACAGCTACGTTAAGAAATGTGTAATTGTTTGGTGATCATATCAAAAGGTTTAATCAACACAAAAAAGGTAACAGTATCTAAACATGCATAAGCATACATTATTATAATCAGTTTCAGATCAAAAGAATGACTGTTTTTGTGGTTTGTTTGAGCTTTACTTGTACACTTTGAAAACGTTACCACTGCTCATAAGAGATTCGTTTAAACATTTATAGTGAATTTGCTCAAGGGGTAAAAAATAAATAATCTTAATTAAGGAGTTATAATTAATATTTAAATAAACTATACACTTACTTGAGGTCTTTGGGTCAAGTGTTTTTTCATTCAAAGAACGTACATTTCTAAGTCATATTAAATATTATTGTTAAAAATATGAAACTACACAGCCTGTAGAAAAATTGGCATGATTAGGGACACCAGTTTTGCGCTAATAATGAACAACATCAAGTGTGATACAAATAAGCCTTTACTAAACACAAACTAATCTAACATGCGCCATCTCGGTCAGTATAGGAAAATGCAGTAGAGAGTGAAAAATAAAAGAATAAAGTTATATGATACAAGTTATTTGATATTCAGCAGATTTTCAGCCTGAAGGAGACACCAGTTTCATAATTCAAACATCTTTGCCAAAAAGTTTAGAGGATACTTTATGTATCTGTTACCTAGACTAAGTTTGATACTTGCAGTCTCTTGCTGTTTGAAAAGAGTGCTGATGCGGTTAGTTGAGGCTCCAGTTGATCATTGCTGAAGTTGGTTGATGAGAGAGAACCAGTGTGAGTCCGAGGATCTTTATTGAATGAAAAGACAAGGCCGGAGCACAGCTTGTGGTGTGTTTGGAGAACACTTGGGTCTACATCTTCTCCTGTGATCTCTGGTTGCCACATTGGAAGAACTCTGGGTGGCAGCCTTGGTCACTAGGTTTATAATGATTGTGTTGTAACACCATTAGGAGCAGAGATGACCAGTGAGAAATTCACATTCCCAAGGAAGTTTTATGACCCTTTTTTCCTTGAGCTTGGTGATTTGCATTTGCATTCTGTCCAGTCCCTGGATTAATGTATAGTTAAGTTAAAAAGGTACAAAAACAAATGAAAGTCAGGAGTCAAGGCTGATGACAAACATCTTGACTTGAGTCCAAATCAAACACTGATGTTTTATCAAGCTTTCACTTGTACTTTGACTTGATTTTTGATGTTTGCCATTTTCTGCTTTCAGGTTTTTTTCCGCCTATCAACTGAAATCACTTATTATAAAATCAAGCACATATGTATATATACACACACCAGAACTTACTGTACGAAAACAGCAGTAAGTGGAAACTATGAGGAATAAAATCCATATATACATATATATATATAGCTTAAGGTTTAACCAAAATGTGTTTATATATTTGTTTAAATATAAATTGATATTCTGCACTCTATATCATTTAAAATGTCCAAATGGTCATTTCCTAATGTTATATAGTTTGTAAATCTAAAAGGTTTGAGTTTATGGATAAATGGTGCTATTGTCTCTCAAGAAAGCACTCATTCTGAACTAGCTGAGAAATCATTAGCTATTCTAGTTTCACTTTTGTAGCTTATCAGTGTTTGTCCAAACATTTGCACAATACCAGCCTATGGCTGCCTGCAAACAGTGTCTACTTTGACCCTTTGTCAACACTCATTGGCTGATGTTGTTGGCAATGGCATGTTGTTGGCAAATTCAAACAAGCCTTTTTTGTTTAGACGGCCAAAACAAATGTTGTGATTTTTGCATTTAGTTTTTACAAAAAGACTAATTGTAATAAGTGAAGCTTTGAAATTAACCTGCTTTTCACTACATTTTAGTGGCATTTTGTCATTTATTAATATAATTGAGCACAATGAATTCAACAACTGCTACACACTTCTCTACATTTGTTATTTATAGTCTATATAACATTTACATTTACATTAGTCCCCCCGAACTACAATCCCTGCCAATGCAATATACTAGATCAAACACCAGGACTCAAACCGGCAACCTTTGGATCACAAGTCCAACTCTGCAACCATTAGATCACTGTTGACTCAAAATTTAACAACTTGTTTTACCAAGCAACTTTTTTTTTCTTCTTCTATTTATCACAACTAAAATGCGTGGCGTCACGGTGACACAGTGGGTAGCACGATCGCCACACAGCAAGAAGGTTGCTGGTTCGAGCTTCAGCTTGGTCAGTTGGCATTTCTGTGTGGAGTTTGCATGTTCCCCCCTTATTTGCAGGTTTCCTCCATGCACTAAAGACATGCACTATAGGTGAATTGAATAAGCTAATGTCTCCGTAGTGTATGTGTGAATCGGAGTGTATGGCTGTTTTCCAATGTGGTGTTGGGAAGGGCATCCGCTGCGTAAAACATATGCTGGATAAGGCAAAGCAAAGCAAGTTCATTTATATAGCACATTTCACACACAGTGACAATTCAAAGTGCTTTACATAAAGAAGAATAACAAATTTTTAAAAAGTGTTAGAAAATTTATAAAAACATAATAAAACAGATTAAAATTGTATTAAAAACAGGTTATAAAAGAATGAAAAAGAAGAGAAAGAAATAATAGTGCGATCTTTAGGACGTAGCACAGTGCTCATACAGTAAAGGCACAGCTAAACAGATGTGTTTTAAGTCTTGATTTGAACGTGCCTAATGTTGGAGCACATCTGATCATTTCTGGAAGCTGGTTCCAGCAGCGAGGGGCGTAGTAGCTGAAGGCAGATTCACCCTGCTTTGACTGAACTCTTGGATTTTCTAGTTTATATGATCTCAAAGATCTAAGTGATCTGAAAGGTTTGTATTCAGTGAGCATATCTGTAATGTATTTAGGTCCTAGGCCATTTAATGATTTATAGACAAGTATAGTAATACTTTTAAATCTATTCTGAATGTAACTGGCAGCCAGTGTAGAGACCTGAGGACAGGTGTGATCTGCTCTGATTTCCTGGTTCTGGTCAGAATTCTGGCTGCAGCGTTCTGGATGAGCTGCAACTGTCTGACTGTCTTTTTGGGAAGGCCCATAAGGAGGCCGTTACAGTAATCCACTCTACTGCTGATAAAAGCATGAACAAGTTTCTCTATGTCTGGAAACAAAGCATTTAATTCTTGCAATGTTTTTGAGATGATAGTATGCTGATTTACTGACTGCTTTGACATGACTATTGAAACTCAGATCTGACTCCAGAGTCACACCAAGATTCCTGACCTTACTTTTTGTTGTTTGACCTTTAGAGTCAAGGTATGCATTCACCTTGAGAACCTCATCTTCGTTCTTAAATGCAATGACTTCAGTTTTCTCTTTGTTTAACTGAAGAAAGTTTTGGCTCATCCAATTGTTAATTTCATCAATGCATTGGTAGTGGGTGTCTATGGGGCTGAAGTCATTAGGCAGTAAGGCTAAGTAGATCTGAGTGTCATCAGCATAGCTGTGGTAGGACATTTGGTTCTTTTTCATTATTTGGCTCAGAGGGAACATATAAAGGTTGACAGCAGAGGTGCTAGAATCGAGCCTTGTGGGCCTCCGTCATGGGTGTCCAGCTTGACCTATGGTCACCTATGGATAAGTTGGTGGTTCATTCTGCTGTGGCGACCCCTCATTAATAAAGGGACTAAGCCAAAAAGAAAATGAAAGAATGAATGATTGCTAGTTACCACACCTTAATAAACAAATAACGTTTTTCTAGTTCTCACGACTTAAACAAGGATCACAACATAAATTGTCGTTCTCAACTTTAATCCCTGATATTTTGGCTACATGATATACAACTGTTTAGTTGTGTCTGGAGTATTAGAATAAAGTAAAAGCTCCACACTTTGGAATCACCTTGATTATTCAGATCTGCTGTGTTTGATTAGGGTTAGAGCAAAACTGTGCAGAGCCGCGGCCCTCCAGGAATCCAGTTTGAGACCCATAATTTTTAAACGGCATGTAAAAGAGTATAATTATTAGTCTTTTAAGGAGTTTAAATATAAATCAAAATCCTTTCTAAAAATAAAAGTAAGGGTGTTTCTTTGAAAAGTACATTTACGGATTAAAAATTTAGCTAGAAAAAGCAATAAGTTAATAATAAATTGCTCAACTACTCTCACTGGCAGAGCTGTGAGTAAACAAAAGCTTTTTTAAAGAGGAGGAGCTATACTATGTCCCACCCTCACTTTAATTAAGATTAAAACATTCATCTTAATTCATTTTCTTTTCGGCTTAGTCCCTTTATTAATCCGGGTCGCCACAGCGGAATCAATCGCCAACTTATCCAACATGTTTTACACAGCGGATGCCATTCCAGCCGCAACCCAACACTGGGAAACATCCGTACACTCTTGCATTCACACACATACACTACGGCCAGTTTAGTTTATTCAATTCACCTATAGTGCATGTCTTTGGACTGTTTGGAAACCGGAGCACTCAGAAGAAACCCACACAAATACAAGGGGAACATGCAATCTCCACACAGAAATGCCAACTGACCCAGCCGAGGCTTAAACCAGCAACCTTCTTGCTATAAGGTGATCGACTCCCAAGTATTAATATTCACTAAAGCAAATTGTGATCATCTTCAGGGAGTGCCTCTGCTCACAAAATCAATCCAATCAGGTCTGTTGTGGAAGTTTTTTTCTCTTTTCAGTTTCCATCACTCTTAGTATGCCGATTGATGAACATTTGCAAATTCCACAACCAACGCAGAGCCCCGGGGATCGGAGAGAGACTGGATTGACCTTCTTCAGATCCCTGTAGTAAAAGCGAACAAGCAGCGAATGGGTTTTACGTCACTGCTGCTGCCCTCTATTATAAGATGTGGCAAACAAACAAGAGCAGTTGCTATTCAAGATGAGAGGATTCCTGATACTGCTCAGCGTTCTGCTGGTGCTGGAGGCAACAGAGAGAAACAAGACTTATGAACAACTAAACCGAGAAACTCGAGGAATTGTTGACAAGGCTATAGAAAAAGCCAATGAGGAACTTGGAAAACAGCAACACCTTGATTATTCTTCCATTTTACAAGCTGTAAGTTATTTATTTTAAATGTTAATTAAGTATTTAGTATTTTATTGCTGTTTGTCTGTCTGCTTTGATAATTTGTTTTCTCTGATTGTGAAGCTTAAAGTGATCTATTTAAACATCTTCTACATGTTTGAGCAAGGATTACATGCATCTTCTTTATATGACAGAATGATGGAAAACGCATGCTGCATGTGTTATTAAAACCCACCTCATGTGAGAAGAAAACTCCAGCCGTTCATCAGGGAAACTGTAAAATCAGGGAAAAGGCTAAGGTGTGTATTTCTTCATTGCCTAAATGCATAGGTGTCACTGTTAAACATGCTCAGTAAATAAATGATCAAAAAAGATTTCTCGCTGATCTTCAATTATTTTCACAGCCTCAGGTGTCTTGTGTTGCCTGTCATGAAGACATTAATTGTTTCTTTCTCAGAGAGCATGAAAAGGTATCCTACATCACATATCAGTCTATAGGCATAAGGACCTGCATGCATTATGATCTCTCTTCTTGTTGTCAAGATATTCATACAGTAAAAATATTCTGTTTTCATTTCAGTCAAGAGAAGCTGTACGTAATTGTTTAGGACTGAATGTTTATCATCCCGGTAGAGGAAATTTTATGTCCCTGATAGGAGGAAATGCGCAAAAAACTGGATGTCTTGGTTGTGTCTGAGAAGAAAAAGTTCAAGGATTTTTGCAAGTGACTGTATAAATTAAAAAGAGTAATAATAATACTAATGAAATATAACTTCTAAAACATACCCCTTAAGCCAAGCTTCTTTCCTGGGTAACATATTTTAAAATGCAAGTACATCAATGAGTGATAATGAAAGCCGCCTCCTGTAACCCAGCAACTTTAATCTCCTTACTTTGTGCACCACTTCCCTTTAAACATTTTTCTTTAGTTAAAAATAATCCAGTTGTTAAACATTCATTGAGGATTTGCTTTCACTTTCGTTCTGCTCTACACCTGAAAGACCTTTCTACTATTGCTCAAGTTTTTCGCATTACACCTTTTTGTCCTCTTTAATGGACAGAGCCTTTAATATCTGGAGGTAACATTGACTAATTACAGTTGATCAGTTATTCATAGATGATCATTTTGCATCTTTTACTCAACTTTAGGAAAAATTCGACCTACCCAATTATTATTTATGTAGATGCTTTCAGTTACAGAACTTTATCCATAAGGGTTTTTTTTTAAAATATTTACTATTATTATTAAAACAGTCCCCTTTAACACATGTACTGAGGGCTTTTTGGGAGGAGGAACTGAATTTAACAATTGATTAAACTTGCCATCGCACCAGCCACACTGTTACATATGTTCTAGTCTTGTTTGAACCTGACTGTTATTCGGGGGAAAGTCTTTAGGTGTTTTTCTGATTTCTTTTCATTGTCAATAGACCCAAACCCCCTTAACAGCACTGTTTGAAATCCTGCCAGAATGTTGAGTTAAATTCATTACAGGCCGATAGTGTAGCCTTTGCAGTCTTACTGGCTAGATGACTTATTCTTATGAATTTAAAGTCAGCAGCTACCCTTTCTTATCGGCAATGGGTTTTTGATTTCTTACATGCTCTTCAAATGGAAAAGATTCAGTTCACAATAACGTCACCTTGAAATTGGAATTGGTTCTATCTGCATTCTGAATGATTTTGAGATATTGAGCTTCAAAGTTTTTGCATTCCATAGCAAATGGTATGTGTGTAACTTTTGGTTTTATAATAATGTTAAAACATACTTAACTTAAAAAAAACATCCCGTCATAATGTAAATAAGTTGTCATTTAATAAGAATGTCAATAACTCAATTTTGACAAAAATGTCAGATAGAACCTTATAAATCCAAAGTGACAATAAAAAACAAAAGCCAGAACAGTTCCTGAAAGTCTGGAGCCCTTTTCTAAAAAAAATAAGGAGACAGCTATATCTTAATTGCCTTTTCCCTTTATTTTCTTTGTATTTATTTATTATTTAATTTGTTTTTTTATTATTCTTATTTTTGTTATCTTATGTTTGTATATCTTTGTGTATAAATGTGGTATTTTACCTTTTATTTATATAATTATTTAGTGTAAAAATATGTTTTGCTGATAATTTCTTCTTTGTTGAATTGTATCTGTGTGTGTATCTATATGTATCAATATTATGTATATTTTATTGTCTGAACTAAAATGAACCTAATAAAAAATGTAAGTACATCTACATTTAATAACAGCCATTTCTCTTTTCTCTTTTCTCTTTTTTTTTTTTTTAGATAAATACAAATATTGAATATAAAATATGTCCTGAAATGTCAAATAAAAAAATTGGCCTAAAATTTTTGGAAAGCAAATTGTAACTTTATCTTTATTTTTAATAGATTAGCTTAAAAGCTTTAAAATTTTAAAAAGAACTCAAAACAACTGTTATTTTATTTTTTCAATTTCTTTCTTTTATTGAAGAACCGGTATCCAACAATATCATGTTGTTATTTCTAACAGTTGTTTTGATTAGTATTTTAATGCTGATAAGACAAAAAACATTACAATAATAAAATGAAAACATTAACAATGCTAACACAATATGTGTCATTTTCCTGTGATGTATAAAAATATTAAACTCCATTCACGGCTAAGAAATGTGTTATTATTGATTCATCAAATCAAAAGGTTTGATTAGAGTAATTATACATTTGACTAAGGTTACAGTATCTAAAAACATAAGCAGAACTTAATTGTTATAAAACATTTCATTGGTTACTTTAAGGTTAATTTGAGTTTATACTCTTTGAAACCATTACCCCAGCTCATAAGATATTTGTGTAAACATTTCTATTTGTTCACCGTATAAATGATTACCAGGATCAAAACTGAAGACTTTTTCAATTAAGAAGATCATAAATACTAATGTCGGTATTAAAAAGATCACATTTTGATTAAAATTGCTGTAGTGAAGCATTAAGTACTAATTGTCAGATAAGTGACAATAAAGTCAGATATGACAAAAATAAATTTGGAAAGGTACAGACCTGTCTTTATAAAGTCCCACAGTTAACAGAGCATGTCAGAGCACAAACCATGGCATGAGTACAAGGAATTATTTGAAGACCACCACGACACAATTGTATTGAGACAAATAACTGGGGAAGGGGAAAGAAATCTGCAGCATCAAAGGTTCTAGTGGCACAAGAACCTAATGGTCATTCTGAAAAAGCTCCAGTGGCTTGTTTTATTTTCTGTCTTTTTGATTGAAAGAATTGGTAATATAAAGAGTGTAAAGTCCCTGGATTAATGTGTAGTTAAGTTAAAGGCACTAAATCAAATGAAAGTCCGCAGTCAAGGCTGATGACAAACATTTTGACTTGAGTCCAAATCAAACACTAATGTTTAATCAACCTTTCACTTGTACTTTGACTTGATTTTTGATGTTTGCCGTTTTCTGCTTTCAGGTTTTTTCTCTAACCAACTGAAATCACTTATTACAAAATCAAGCACATATGTATATATGCAGTAAGTGAAATGTATATAACAGTAAGTGAAAATTATTTGGAATGAAATACTTTTTCCTTTTTTTTACACTTACATTTTTTTTGCTTAAGGTTTAACCTAAATGTGTTTGAATGGGTTGATTAATCTGAGTTGCTGTAAACACTTTTTTATTTATATATTTGTGTAAATATACACTGATATTCTTCACTCTTCATATTTATTCTTTAAAATGTCCAAATGGTCATTTCATAATGTTAATGGATAAATAGTGTTATTGTCTCTCAATAAAGCACTCATTCTGAACTAGCTGAGAAGTCATTAGCTATTCTAGTATTCTAGCACAATACCAGCCTATTGCTGCAAACAGTGTCTACTTTGACCCTCTGTCAACACTCATTGGCTTGAGTTGTTGGCAAATGCAAACAAGTCTTTTTTGTTTAGAAAGGCAAAATATATGTTGTGATTTTTTTTTGTGTGAAAAAATCATATATCCCGTGTCACAAAAACAGCCTTCTTTCATCTGAGAAATATTGCTAAGTTACAAAGTATGCTATCCATCTCAGATGCAGAAAAGCAAGGCTCAAGGTTGAAAGTGATGTGCAACCAAAATTTCACAAGGCACACCCTGTACCATATTCAGTACGCCCAAAAGTGGAGGTGGAGCTAAAGCGGCTAAATAACCAAGGAATCCTGCCTAAAGTAAACTGGACTGACTGGGCTACACCTATAGTTCCAATTGTCAAGAAGAATGGTGATGTATTAGCAGCGACTTCAAAGTCACAATTAATCCAGTCTTACAGGCAGAACGGTACCCATTGCCTCTGATTGATGACATCTTTGCGTCACTGTCAGATGGGCAGTGTTTTTCAAAAATTGTTTTTGCAGATGGAGATGGAAGAATCTTCTAAAAAGTACCTGCAATATACACGCATAAAGGTCTCTTTTACTAAAACAGACTTGTATTTGGGGTCTCATCAGCACCAGCTGTGTGGCAAAGAGCCATGGATCAAGTCTTGTAGGGTGTCGCTGGCACACAGTGCTATTTAGATGACATTATAGTCACGGGCCATGACAATAAAACCCATCTGGCAAACTTGAATGCTGTTCTTGAAAGACTGGCTAAGTATGGTCTGAGGGCAAATATGAGCAAATGTGAATTTTTCAAAGATTCAATTGAGTACTGTGGACACTGGATTGACAAGGCAGGCCTTCACAGGCCTTCAGACAAAATCAATGCCGTACTTAATGCACCAAGTCCAGAAAACATGAACCAGCTTTGTTCGTTTCTCGGACTGGTGAATTAATATAATAGATTTTTACTAAATCTCTCCACAGTTATACATCCATTAGATGCTTTGCTTCAAAAGTCAGGTAAATGGGTGTGGTCGAAGGACTGTGACAAGGCGTTCAAGATAGCTAAGCAACTGATCATGTCAGAGACTGTTAACACATTATGACCCCAGTCTTTTTTTTAGGTGGTCATGACTATTCGATTGAGTTCAAGGGCACTAAGCACCATGGAAACGCAAACGAACTGTCGCACCTTCCTCAGGAGAATGCAGATGAGGTTACAGATGAAACTGACATGTTTCACATGGTTCAAATGGAATCTTTACCAGTCACAAGTGCTCAAATTCAAAATGAGACTCGTTGAGACCCTGTACTGTGCAAGGTGTTTGAGCTGACCATGAAAGGATGGCCAGCTAAAGGGGATCCTCAACTGTTGGACTAATCACATCGTCGTGAACAGCTTTCTGTAACAAATTGTTTCTGATGTGTCGTGGGGTACTCGAGTGATAGTGCCACTTAAGCTACAAGCCAAAGTACTCACTGCCCTACATGAAAGACATTTAGGTGTTGTTAAAATGAAAAGCCTGACTAGGAGCTATGTTTGGTGGCCAGGGCTAGATTGCCAAATTGAAGATCTTGCTAAGGCATGCTCTGGGTGCCAACAGATTCAGCGACAGCCAAAGGCTGCACCTTTACATGTGTGGAAATTTCTACCAGCCCCTGGCAGCAAGTGCACATTGACTATGCAGGACCCATATTCTTGACAAAATGCTTCTGATGGTAGTGGATGCATGTTCAAAATGGTCAGAGGTATTTCCCATCAAAAATGCAACATCCAATGACTGTAGAACTACTTTGCACATTGTTCCCCTGCACTGGCTTGCCAGATCAGTTAGTCAGTGATAATGGTACACAGATTACTTCAGAGGAATTCCAGTCATTTGTCAAAAGCAATGGAATAAGGCACACAACATCTGTTTCTTACCATCGTACTACGAACGGTTTAGCGGAACGCTTTGTTCAGTGCCTAAAAGTCACTAAAGGCCATGGGAAAGGAAAAAGTGTCTCTACAAGAAAAGATTGCAATGCTGGCCTATAGAAATGCTGCACATGCGACTACAGGTAAATCTCCATCCACACTTTTTTTTATAAGCAGAAATCTTCGTACGTGCTTAGACTTACTTAAGCCTGATCTAAGCAGACATGTGCAAGCCGAACAGTGTCAGAAAAGCCCAAAACAATCAGTACTCAGGAATTTACATGTTGGACAAAATGTACTGGCTAGAGACTACAGACAAACACATCAAAAGTGGCAACCAGGCAAGATATTGTCCAAGACTAGGCCCCTTACTTACACTGTACAAATTGGTGCCAACATGGTTTGGTGCAGACACATTGACCAGCTTTTAAATGCAACAGCCTCACAGGCTGATTCTTCTCCAAATGTCACAGATAATATGGACACTTCCCAATGCCTTAATGAGTATGCACTCATAACACCTGAGTTTCCCTCTACAGCCACTGGCGTAACAGAATCAGAAACTGTTCAGTTGTCCAGTGCTCATTCCTTATTTCAAAACGCAACGTCTCAAGCGAAACGTTATCCTGAGCATGTTCACAAACCCCCTGACAGACTGAACTTGTAGTTATTCATATATACATATCTAGTATGATAACTAGCTGAAATAACTGTTACAACTATTTGCATAGTTAAATAAGTTCTGTATTGATATGTTATGAATGCCTGTGTTCTTACTGGTAAATACAATAGAATGCAGCTTGAAGTGGATGCATTAAGTTAGTAACAAATTGATTGTTCTGCAATGACGCACTCTAGTGGTGTGTGTGTGTGTGTGTGTGTGTGTGTGTGTGTGTGTGTGTGTGTGTGTGTGTGTGTGTGTGTGTGTGTGTGTGTATGTGTATGTAAGGTGTGTCCGCGGGCCATCAGTTTGGTGGCGGCCCGCGAGGCTTTTTATAAATATTAATAGAATC